AAGATGGAAGCGATATACAAAGTCATTGTACCAAAAAGAAATGGTATATCAAGATGAGAGAGAGAGAAGACAAAGGGCTGGCTGGTAGGAAGTGCAGGGAGGTGTACATGAATTTTCAAACTTGCAGCTAGTACTCATCTAGATTAGATGGCTAGCTGATTAGAACTCAACCAGATGAAGATAAAGATGCCTGATATTTTGATCAAGTGTAAATTACTACAATTTGAAAATCTGGACCTTTGCTTGTGGATGCAGTTGCTCAACATTTCAACCAGAATGAAAGATTCTTCATATCAAGGAACAAGTTTGTTTCCTCGGTACACTGAGTTGATAAGTATGGGCAATCTACACACTGGCTATCAAAAATGGGGAGCTGCATAAAGGCACGAAGTGGCTTGCTTACAAGTTTTCATGAGTGTGCTTAGTTTCAGAATGAGGGGGATAACGTAGAATACCCACTTAATTCCCTCTTTTCCAGATGGATCTGGTGAAAGGAGATGGACGATGATGTTGATATGATTTTATGACTCAATGGTAAGTAACTTTTAACAGATTAATTACAGTTGTCACAACCAATTGTAGAAGATGTGTAACTAAGAGGAGGGAGTAGTTAATCTTTTATTTATAGAACAGATGAACCCAGGATCATCATGAATGAAGAGCATGCATAGAGTGTAAGATCCCTACCAAGAAAACTGGCAACAGCAGAAATGGTGGCACGGAGAGGTACGTAGCTATGGGCTCTAGGCTCATGGACTGAGTAAAGCTTGCAGAATATACCCTTAGTACATTTAAATATATATTTTTGTTTTGTATGTGTACATCAAATATTTTTGCTCTGCTCATTTGTGAAATAGAAGATTTAAAAGGGAAGGCACAGGAAGGAAGGAGGATAACTGTTGTTTCAGGGAGAGGACTGTAATCATTGAGAAGAAACAAAGCATACAATCTGTTGAATGTAAAGCTGATGATCTTATGATCTTATCTGTTAATCTGTTAACCTTCATTCAAATAAGACAGGAGGAAAAAAAGAAAGAAAGAGTCCATGTTCAAACATCTCAAGAGATAAGAGTACTGAAGAGCCAATAGTACTGAAGGAAGAAGTTCAAGATGCAATGAAGGCATTGGCAATGAACAAGGTTACAGGAACTGATAGAATACAAATTGAAATCTTTCAACAAACTGATACAGCACTGAAGGCATTCACTCATCTATGCCAAGAAATCTGGAAAACAGCTGCCAGGCCAGCCAATTGGAAAAAATCCATATTTGTGCCCATTCCAAAAGAGGTGACCTAATAGAATGTGGAAATCATAAGACAAGATCATTAATATCCTATGCAAGTAAAATTTTGCTAAAGATATTTTAAAAATGGCTGAAATAGTACATTGACAGAGAACTGACAGAGGTTCAAGCAAGATTCAGACAAGAATGAGGGGATATCACTGCTGATGTCAGATGGATCTTAGCTGAAAGCAGAGAATACCAAAAAGATGTTTACCTGTGTTTTATTGATTATGCAAAGACTTTTAATTGTGTGGATCATGACAAGTAACGGACAACACTGCAGAGAATGAGTATTCTGGAACACTTAATTATGCTCATGGGAAACCTATACATAGATCAAGCGGCAGTTGTTCGAACAAAACAAGAGGACACGGCATGATTTAAAATCAAGAAACTTGTGCACCAGGGTTGTACTCTTTCACCATACCTATGCAATCTGTATTCTCAGCAAATAAATTGAGAAGCTGGAGTATATGAAGAAGAATGTGGCATCAGAACTGGAGGAAGAGTCATTAACAGCCTGTGATATGCCGACGATAAGATACTACCTTACTTCTTGAAAGTGAAGAGGACTAAAATATTTAACTGATTAAGATCAAAGACCACATCTTTCGGTATGGGTTTCACCTCAATTTGTACAAAAAAAAAAATTCTCACCATTGGAGCAATAAAATAATATCAAGATAAATGGAGAAAAGATTGAAGTTCTCAATGACTTCATTTTGCTCAGAATCATCAGCAAATAAAATCATCAACACTCATGGAAGCAGCAGTCAAGAAATCAAGCAACATATGGCATTATGTAAATCTGCTACATAATACCTTTTTAAAGCATTCAAGAGCAGCCAGTTTGAGGACTAGGTGCATCTGAGCCAAGCCATGGCATTTTCAATAACCTCATAAGTATGTGAATAAGGAAGCCTGTAGAAGAACTGATGCATTTGAGTTATTGTGTTGAAGGAGAATATTAAAAGTTCCATGGACTACCAGAAGAACAAACAAATCTGTGTTGGAAGAAGTACAGCCAGAATGCTCCTAAGAAGCCAGGATGACCAAACATTGTCTTTCTCATACTTCTGACTAATTACCAGGAGGGACCAGTCCCTGGAGAAGGACATCATGCTTGGTCAGCAAAAATAAACAGTAAGAACCCAAATAAGATGGATTAGCACAGTGGTAGCAGCAATGAGCTCAAGTGTAGCAACAGCTGACTGGCTGCATGCCATGCCAGTGTGCATAAGGTCATCATGAGTGTGTGCCGACTCGATGGCTTCTGTTTCCTCATCCTTAAGTTACCGGAGTTGCACTAGATAACCTGATTTTGGGTTCTAAACATTCTATATTATGTGTAATAGTGCTCTGAAATATACACAGGAGCCCAGTAGGGGTGTTAGAGGAAGGCAATCTGAGGACCTAAAGCTATCAAGATATGGATCAAGTTATCTTATGAAAAATATACTCAACATACACTAAAAGATAGTCTAGCACAGTTGAACTACATCATAGGCCAGTTGAAGTCAGTATGACTCTGAGGCAGCCACTGTTTGAATGAATAAAGTTTTACTAGAACATAGTCATACATATTATCTATGGCTACTCTTTTACCATAAAGCCGGTCCGTGAGAGCCAAGCTATGAACTTCAGCATATTCTATCTGAATTTAAAGACCATCTCAAGAACAGATTTGATGCATTAGACATTAATCATCAAAGACCACAAGAGGTACAGGATGACATCAAGAACATCACACAGGAAGAAAACAAAAGGTCATTTAAAGACAGGAAAGAAAGAAAAGACCAAAATAGTTGTCAGAAGAGACTCTGAAACTTGTTCATAAGTGTAGATAAACTAAAATGAATGGAGAAATGAAGTAGTAAAAGAGCTGAACAGAAACTATCAAAGGGCAGCTTGAGAACACAAAACCATGCATTATAAGGAAATGTGCAAAGAACTACAGTTAGAAAATCAAAAGGGAAGAACACACTCAGTATTTCTCAAGCTAAAAGAACTGGAGAAAATATTTAAGCCTCATCTTTCTCCCGCAGTGACTGGTAGATTAGAACTGTTGACCTATGGTTATCAGTTCAGTGCTTATCCATCCTATAATACCACAACAATCCTTCAAAATTTTGATGGAAAAAAAAAACTCTGCTGAAGATAATTCAGAAATGGCTTTAACAGTACATCGACAGGAAACTGACAGGAATTCAAATCTGATTCAAGAAAGTACATAAAATGAGGAATGCCACTGCAGACGTCAAATGTATATTGGTTGAAATCAGGTAATATCAGAAAGATACTGACTTGTGCTTACTACTATGCAAAGGCATTCGATTGTGTGGATCATGAGAAGCATTGTTAAGACAGCAATGTTAAGAATGGGTATCACAGAACACTTAAATGTGCCTAGGAAGAACGGGGGCATAGACCAAGAGGCAGATGTTCGAACAGAACAAGGGGATATAAATGGTTTAAAATTAGGAAAGGTTTGAGCCAGGGCTGTATTCTGTATGCTGAGCAAATAATCCAAGAAGTTGGACTACATGAAGAAGAGCATAACATGAGGATTGGGATATACATAACAACCTGGGATATACAACTGATACAGCCTTGCTTTCTGGAATTGAAGAGGACTTAAAATGCTTACTGGTAAAGATCAAAGATCACAGTCTTCAGTATGGACTGCAACTCAATGCAAAGAAAACAAAAATCCTCACAACTGGTCCAGTGAATAATATCATGATAAATGGAGAAAAAATTTGAAGTTGTCAAAGACTTCATTTTGCTTGGATCCATTATCAACACTCTTGAAAGCAGCAGTCAAGAAATCAAATGGCATATTGCATTAGGCAAAATCTGTGACACAGGACCCCTTTTTAAGTATTCAAGAGCAAAAAGATCAGTTTGAGGACTAAGGTGCGCCTGACCCAAGCCATGGTATTTTCAATAGCTTCATATGCATATGAAAGTAGGACAGTGAAAAAGAAAAGACCAAAGAAGAATTAAGGCATTTGAGTTATGTATGGGGTTTGGGAAGAACATTAAAAGTACCATGGACTGCCAGAAAACAAACAAATCTGTCTTGGAAGAAGCACAGCCGGAATGATCCTTAGGAGTGAGGATGGCAAGACAATGTCTCTCATGCTTCAAAATGTTATCAGGAGAGACCAGTCCCTGGACAAGACATCATGCTTCGTAAAGCAGAGGGTCAGCAAAAAAGAGGAATATCCCTAACAAGATGGACTGGCATAGTTACAGCAGCAAAGGGCTCAAGTGTAGCAAAAGTTGTGAGGATGGCTCTGGACCTGGGAGTTCTGTTGTGCATGCATGAGTCAAGTCGGAGCCAATTAGGCGGCACCTAACAACAACAATGGCAGCTTTCCTGCTACAGAGACAGAGTTGAATAGTTTTGTGAGAGACTAGATACTCCCCAAAACCTAAAATATTTACTAACTGAACTAAATGATCTATATGGTCCATTTTGCATTCTATTATACAATTGAAGGGAAAAAATTGCATCAAATCTCTCTCCGAGTGTAAGATTAAAATGGGGAGTAGGGAAATGAGGAGAGAGAAGAAGTCAAATGCGTATTTACAATTCACCCGCCTAATACTGGTTTCTCTAAGCTAATAGACAGCTATCATCTAGTCAAAGAAACCTTCTATTCCAGTAAAACACAAGCTAAAACAAGCATGAGCAATTTAATACTCACCTGCCTTCCTTAACTTTTTCCGCATTCCCTCTACATATATAATTTTCAATATAACCATCACTGCAGTTGATTTTTGACCAATCTGGGTCACATATATCCAAGAAGTGAGGCCGCAGCCTGCCTATTGAATACTTGGCAATGTCAGTCAGGGACTGGCTAGCAGCTGCACCAAATAAAAAAGTTCCAATGGCTTTGTAAATAGTGGCTACGTAGTTATTCCTCATGAAAGAATTTGAGTGCAAAAGATTAAAGTAAACAGACAAGGTTTCTCCAATAATCATCTGAAAAAGAAACAGAAAAATAATTTGTTAAACCAGCAATCAAGCACTTGAAATAAAAACAGAAAACAGTCATTACAATTTAAATATTTTTGTGTCAATTTTTTTTTTCTTTATAAATGGAGGGTCAACTTAAGATACTCTATTCTAAACCATAAATGTCAGATCAATGGTAGATGCTGCTTACAAAGCAGTTACTGAGCCAAAATCATTTCAAATTTTATGTGAAACAATAGAATTTTTTTTCTTCCATTTAAAAAAACAACTGGACATTAAAAATGTGAACAGTGAAGTAGTCTGGAGAACAAAACCATCACTTGTTCAAAGGATATAAACTTCCCCAATCAAA